ACATGAGATCAAGGACGAAAACATGTTTCTGACTTGGAAGAAGCCCAGGAAAGCACTTGCTGGAGGTCAGGCCCCGTCCAGCAGGGGGCGCAGCTTCCTTACACGGATGCATTTCCTGCCTTAGTTGTAGGCTCCTCATCTCAGTATGCCTCCAACAGTTCTTCATGTAAAGAATCCAGAACCTTACTTAGGGGACATCCTAAAGATGAACACTTCTCCCAGCTTAGTGACTCTGATTGTTTTAATAATTGGTAAGTAAAATGTCTTTTGCAATGAAGTCTCTTTTGTCTATGATGTCACAAAAATCTATCAATTTCTCTAAGAGTTTTTGCCTTAAATGACACAGATCTGTTTATCTCCAGGAAGGATATGTGGACAATCAGTGACCCAGATGGAAGGCCCAGTGTCTATCGCAGAAGGGGCCCTTCTGACCATCAACTGCTCCTATACAGCCTCAGGCTACACTGTACTTTTCTGGTATGTCCAGTACCCTGGAGAAGGTCCACAGTTTCTTCTAAAAGCTGTGAAAGCCAATGAGAAGGAAAGAAGCAAAGGGTTTGAAGCCACAAATGATAGAGCAACCAGCTCCTTCCATTTGGAGAAAGCCTTCGTGCAAGTGTCAGACTTGGGGGTGTACTACTGTGCTGTGAGTGACACAGTGGCAGGAACTGCAGGGGGAGCTGGGCACAAACTCTGAGCAGTAACCAGGGGCCTGGCTGCTAGGTGTCTGCCTCTGAGCCCCACTGTGCTTTCTGTGCAGTCTCTGCTGTGTGGTTGATGAGAAATCCTATAAGTGTCCATAGCATAACAGACAGTGGACATCCCCAAGTCAGCTTTTCACCAGTGAAGTTGAAAGCAGGATTTTACAGTGACAGTCCTCTATGCAGGGCTGAAATGATTTTAAGATAAAACCCAGGAGGACTGTGTTGAAGGCTCTGTATTTGAAATTTCTTGGGTGAATTGAGGAGCAGCACAATAAAAAGTAAGAAATTAAAAATACATAAATAAAATATTTGCTGTTGTACTAGTAAGGGAAACCCTAGAGGATATCATATGTGACAGAAAGCCCACCACACTGGCAGCCCTCTTGGAAGACACTGAAAATGTGCGTGCAGCCATCGTGCTGCACCACGGCTGTGCAGGCAGCAGTTTGGAGCCTGGTGGTTGTCAGGATGCTCGTGACCACCACAGTGAGCACCTCTTGTCATCAGGAAGGCCAAAGGTAACTTGGATTTATCACCTTGTGTCTCAACCAGTTTAGCATTAAACTATTTATACAATCTTCCTGTTCCTGAGGTGTGTGTGCACTTGTTATACATCTGTGTGTATACATCCATGTGCATGTATTTATCCTGCTAACAAGCATCTGTGACTTGTTTGGAAGGACTGACATCCGCAATAGTGAGGACTGGCACCCGCCTTCAGAAAGCCAGCTGCCAGCTAGAGCCCCAAGAGCCGTGGCTTCCCACTCACTTTAGAAGACTGTCTGGAGGCAGCACTTTTTGTCCCCTTAGGGAACTTAGTGTTTTTCTCTTACGATCTGAGTTGATTACACATGAGCTTCCCCATGCTGTAGAGTCCCAACTCTGGACTCAAGATCT